TTCTTTAGATGATCTCTAAATTCAGGAGGGATATATTCCAGATCATATTTTGGCTCTCTTGGACTTCTTTTAATTGTCTTTAACTTCAAGTTGAACTTGCATATGAGCAGTTGATGGTCTGTTCCACAATCAGGTCCTGGCCTGGTTTTGGCTGAAGATACTGAGCTTTTCCACCGCCTCTTGGCACAGATGTAGTCAATCTGATTCTTGTGTGTTGCATCTGGTGAAGTCCACATGCAGAGCTGTCGTTTGTGTTGTTGAAAAAAGGTGTTTACAACGAAAAAGTCGTTGGTCTTGCAAAATTGTATCATGCGAATTCCAGCCTTATTTCTGTCGCCAAGGCCAAATTTTCCAACTACCGGTGATTTTTGTTTGTTTCCAACTTTTGCACAGACACTAGTGATAAAAAAATAACCACAGTCATTACAGAAACAACAGAAGACAGAGTTGGAGTAATCCCTCAGAGACTGCCAAACACCTTGATATAGAAAACCACCAGGACTACTGACTCAGGATCATAGTATTGGGGGACACCAGGGTCAATTGGCACAACATAGTACATAAAAATCTTGTTCCACAATCTATTTTGGTGAGTAATGACTAGGTTCTTAAAAGCTTTCAAGCGGCCATCTAAGTAAGATGCAGCTAATGATCTCCTCTCATAGGAAGCAAAGAAGAGTTGAGAAAATCAAGGGCATTTTGAAACAATTAGCCCAAGAGTATGATGGACCTCGAAACCAGAAGAACTAGGTGGTGCCCAACTACCAATGCCAGCTACTCGGAAAGGAATCAAAACTGGAGATCCTGGATAGACTGGGAGGAAAAAATGTGGAACAAAATTAAAAAACACAATAACAACTGGGATTGCTGATCGGGTGGAGTCTGGTGGGACCCCCAAGACTATGGCCCTGAGATACACTTCAGGCCTGGGATAGGACTCAATCCCAAGGACTGGCTCTCAGCCCAACAATAGGAAGACTTACATGCAGAACACCCAACCCAGGGTGATGCAGCCACCTACTCTACAGAGATACACCTCTTGGAGCAATTGGCCACGGGCCACCAAAGGGGCAGCATTCACATGAAGGGAAAGCTGGACAGACAGGAGTGCATAACTAAGAAAGGCGCTGGGAGGGGGAATCACAGGGAAGGGATGGTATGAGAGTGGGTTAGGGTTGGAAATGGTGATCAGTGAGTTAAGCCAAATATACATGAACAGTTGAATGTAAAACAAATCCTGCTCTGTAAATTTGCACCCAAAATACAACTGAAAAAATATTACAGCCTTGGAGCCCAATGGGGGTTGCTATGAGTCAAAATCTAGTTCTCTTTTAGAGGGCCTTTATTTGCTTCTTTACTGAACAGGTGAAAAACTACTGCAGAATTCATTTTCTTCTATTGAGTATTTTTCCTTTCCCTCATTTTCCAGTCACGGCATTATTTTAAACTGCCACTTCCATCCCTGGAGAAGAATGTAATCCTGCTTCTGAACTGTCAAAGGCAGTGTTTGTATCTACTCAGTGTGGTTGTTTCTAGTTGAAGATGGTTTATTCCCTGACAGTCCTAATGGCTCCTGCTCTTAATTGAAAAATATAAAGCTTCATGACACGGTACTTACTTACATTACCTTGGTGTGCATGAGCAATTTGAGTTTTCTTAGATTAAGAAAATTATTCACATTTTTATGTCAGATTTTCCCTGATAGCTTAACATTGAAAATTTTAATGTAACTCAAAAGAGAGTTCTCTCGAAGAGAGCCAAAGTATGATCTTGAATATATCCCTCCTGAATTTAGAGATCATCTAAAGAATAGATTTGATGCATT